TTTGGCATCGCCGTCATCATCGTCATCATCTTCTCCGTCTTCGTGCAGATGGCGGAGGGCCTCCACTTCGGCATCGTGCCCTACGTCTCGCGCCCCGCGCTGGGCATCGTCTCGGGCATGGTGGGCGCCGGCGGCAACCTCGGCTCTGTCATCGCCACCTGGACCTTCTTCAAGGGCCGCTACCGCACCGACGACGGCATCGTCAACCTCGGTATCATGATCATCGGCGTCACGCTGCTCCTGTTTGGCGTCCACTTCCCCGAGCACGGCTCGATGCTCTTCAAGAAGGGCGCCATCAAGTACGACCCGCAGGCGCACGCCCTCGCGAGACGCGCAAGAGACACACGCACCTGCGCACCACGCGCAAGGTCGCCCCCCCTCACCCCCCCCCCCCCCCCTCCTTCTCAAACAAATTGTCAATCCCCCCGCCAACTACCGCCGCCCCAACCTGATGGACTACTCAAAGGCGGCCGAGGCGCAGAAGGACAAGCCCGAGGTGGTCTAAGATGTCGTCGTCCCGGTATGCTGCGAGCTCTGGGCGATCGGCGCTGAGCGATAAGCGCTCAGAGGCCTCTCCTGCGGAGGCCGCGATTTTCCTCTTGCTCGCCCCCCGTCCCCAACCCGCGCCTCTCTATCGCGAGCGTGGCGCGGATGAGCCTGGCCGCTAGGCTGTCTGCGCGCGGTGGGTCGAAGCGGGGTATGTTAGGTGTCAGTTTTGGCTTGCCGTATGTTGGCGTCGCATCCCGCTCGCACAACACTTGTACACTTTGCATGATACCCCGTTTGTGCGAGAGAGTACTGTTGTAAATTCTAATCGGCGGTTGCGGTTCGCGTTCGGGTTTCACGACTTTCATAAAATCTGCATAGAGCCATATGCACCCCATCGCCAAGCGAGCGGTCGCAGCTCCGAGCTCGCCCTCGCGCGTCGCGGCTCGAGCAGGACGCAGGAGCGGCACAGGACCAGCCACCACGGTTCCACGCGCACGGCGCACGCTCCCCCCCATTCTAACCGCCCCCCTCCATTCTAACCGGTCTCTGAGCCTGGGGTGCGTCTCGCCCAAGCAAGACACGCTCCCTGTGAACCGCGGATTGCGGTCATCCGGCGGCCGCACCCATTTCCTTTCCAGACTGACTCCCACCCCAAACCCTCGCCATGCTCGGGCGCGGCGAGCTAGAAGACGAGGCTCGCGGAGAGGCTGCGGAGGAGCGGCGGCGGTGGCGTTTGTGGCGGCCGGCCGCCCGAGACGGCGGCAGCGCCATTCTCCTTGTCGATCTCCCCGTCGCCCCCCGCGCAGCCACCAGGCCTCTGCTCTGCGCCCCCGAGGGAGCTGCGCGGCTTGCTCGCCGCAACGGCCGCGCGAGCGACCGACGGAGACCGCGAGGAGAGGCGGCGGGGCCCGCGCGGCCTCGACTCCGGAGCGGGGTCGGGCCCCGTGTTCTCGCGAGATGCCGGCTCCCAACGCCACGCGGACGGCTCCGACGGCAGCGGCTGCGTGGGCGAGTGCGGCGGCTGCGACGCCTCGCGCAGCGAGAGGAGCAGCGCGTCGCCGTGCTCAGGCGGCGTGCCGTCCGCACGGAGCGCCTCCGCCCCCGTCGCCGCAGAGAAGTCCCCAAGAGCCGCAGCAGCCGGCACCGCGGCACCGGAGAGCGTCTTCGGCGCGGGCTGCACCGCCGCCCGAGCCGGCGGCGGCGTGCGGCGTGCGGGGCGTGCCGCAGCGGCGCCAGGGGTGAGGCGGTGGGCGGAGGCTGCGGCGGGTGAGGCTGCGGCGGGCGAGGCAGAAAGGCCGAGCGAACAGAGGCCCGCGAGCTGTGACTGGAGGCGCGCGGCATTGGCGTTTGCCGCGGCGAGCTGGTCACTCAGCGCGTCCCTGGAGCGGGAGGCGGTGGGGGCGAGTGGAGTGGATTGAAGTGATGCGAGGCGGCAAGTGAGAGTGAGTGAGTGAGTGAGTGAGTGAGTGAGTGAGTGAGTGAGTGAGTGAGTGAGTGAGTGTGTGTGTGTGTGTGTGTGTGTGTGTGTGTGTGTGTGTGTGAGTACTTCTACCGCGCGGTGGAGTCGACTAGCTTGGAGTCAAATAGAGGGGTGGAGCGAGGGAGTCGCGCGCACCTCTCCCGCCGGACGGCCTCTGCCTCCCGCTTGATCCGCTCGGTGTACCGGATGCGTTGCTTCGGGTTCTGGTGGCCGATCGAGGGCGGCGTCTGCGGACGTCCGGGGGGCGACCCGCGGGGTGGAGACCCCGCCCTCTCCCTCGAAGGCGGGGACGCCGCCGGGGGGCTGCCGCCGCTGCCGCCGCTGCCGCCGCTGCCGCCGCTGGCACCAGCACCGCGTGACCGCCGCATCTCCGCGACCTCGCGCTGCGCCGCCGCGAGTTGCGAGGCGGCATTCTCCGCCTCTGCGCGGCTCTGCGCGCACTCGGCGGAGAGGGCGTCGAGCCGTTTCTCACTGCTCGCTCGCCACTGCCGCAGCTGGCCGAGCTGCGAGAGGGCGCAACGCAGCTCCCGCTCCTTCGCCTGCACCGGGGCGAGCGGCGAGCGCGGTTGGCGGGAGAAGCGGTGGCAGCCGCGAGGGGGGGCGAAGTACGGGGCAATGCCTCGCCCTCCCAACCCTCCTTCCCCTCTCGCCCCCCGCTTCCAGACGCCCCCTGCCCCCCTCACGGCGCCGCACGCAGCCGACGCTTTGCTGGGGCGGGCTGGGGCGGGCTGCCTGGCCCTGCGTCTGCGCGTGGAACGCGTCTTGCCGGGCGGACTCGAGACGTGCCTCGAGCTCTGCGCGCCGCGAGGCGGCGCGCTCCTCCGAGTCCTCGAGCGCCGCCCTGGCCGCCTGGAGCTCGCCCGCCGCCTCGACCGCCTCCGCCGAGAGGCGGCGCTGGACGGCCTTGATCTCGCCCACGCACGGCGAGAAGCGCTCGCGCGGGTTGTCGCGCGACTGGTACAGCTCGATGAGCGACGCCTTCCGCTCCACCTCCGCACGCAGCTCGAGCACCTCAGCCTCTGCCGCCGAGGTGGAGAGCTCGAGCTCCGCCGCCAGCTCGGCCAGCCGCGCCTGTGCGCAGATGCAACGGACGTGTTCCTGGGCGTGTCATGGCTGTGTCATAGACAGCTCAGCCAGCCGCGCCTCCCCACGCCGCCTCGCCTCCACCTCCTCCCGCGCGCGCTGTCTGGCCTCCGCCGCTTCGGCCTCAGCCTCGCTCATCGCCTTGCGCAGCGCGCGCAGCTCCCGCTCGGCGGCGGAGGCGTCGGCGCGGAGCCGTTCGTCCTGCTGTAGCGCGATCAGCCGCGCCTGCGTCACGCGCCAACCGGCTGTCAGGGGCAGCGGCAGCCGAATCCGGAGAGCAGAGAGAGCGCGGGCGGCGCCTCGAGATCCTCGCGCTCACTCACCTCGTCGGCCAGGCGAGTACACGCCTCGCGTTGGGCTGCCCGAGCCCGCTCCACCTCGGAGCGCGACGCTTCGAGGGCCGCCTGCAGCCCCGCCGCCTCGGCCGCCCCCTCCGCCAGCGCCGCCTCGCGCGCCTCCTCCCTCGCCTCCTTGCTCTCCCGGAGCGCGCTGGTCAGCCACGCCGCCTCTGTCCGGAGGGCTTCTATGACGGAGCCTTGCTCAGCGAGCGCCGCCGCCGCCGCCGCCCGCTCCGCCGCCGCCGCCGCCTCCACCGCCTCGAGCGCCCCCTCGCGCTCCTCCTCGGCGCTGCGCCTCGCCTCAGCGACAGCAGAGAGGAGCGCGCGTTCCGCCTCCGCGGCCGCAATTCGCTTCTCGTCGCAAAACTGCTGCGCCTGCGCCGATAGTGCCGCCCCAGAGGCCTCTGCGCGGCGGGTGGCGGCAGCCTCCGCATCGCTGGCAGCCTCCGCACGGGAGCGCTCTGCGCGCAATCGCTCCTCGAGCGACGCCTCCAGCACCGCCACCCGCTCCAGCGCCTCAGCGGCTCGCACCGACGCGGCGGCGGCGAGCCCGCGCTCTCGCGCGATCTGCGCGGGCACGGCGCTGAGCGCTTGAGCCTGCACCCGAAGCGCGGCTTCGCACGCCTCGATCGCCGCCTCCTGATCCGCAAGGAGCGAGGACGCGCCCGCAAACTTGGTTCTGAGCACGCGCACCTCGCACTCGGTAGAGACGAGGTCGCCGGGCTCACCCGCGCTACTCCCATCGCTGGAGCGGCGAAACGAGACCGCCGCCATTTCGTCTCACGCGCAGGGCGGTCCGAGAGACGATCACGACGGAGCTACGGTTGGTAGCTGGGTTGCCCGGCTGGGTTGCCCGGGCGACGCTGTGGCAGTTGCCTTCTCGAAGAGCCGCGAGCGAAACCCGGAAAATTTGTTTTTTCACACGGCGCAAAGAAGAACTCTCGCTCCCCGCGGGACAAATATTCTGGGCACGGGTGACGGAAGTGGTGCGCACTGGTAAAGAGAATACAACTCCCCTTTCTCCGCTCTTTAACCGTCGGCGTCGACGCGTCCCGAATTAGCAAGCTCCATGCACCATGGGCGACTCGGCGCAGGCGGGGAACGCCCCCCCTAATACACCCATTCCCCGCCGGAAGTGGGTGCGAGGTTGCTGACCGCACTCCAAGTGGGGTGCTCCACGGTGCCTTCCTCTCTCGCCGACACAGGTCCGTCACAGGCACCAAAAGAAAGAGGCACAGCCGCGGGGCGCTCACTCGAAGGCGTCGAGGTGGGCCAAGGTGGGAGGCGCGGTCAGAAATCTCACCCGCAACGCCCGCCGTCGCCAGTGCTGCAGCACCCGGCCTCCTCTCACGCGCCTTGCGCCAGCTGCGTGGAGTGCTCCCAGAAAAAGCCGGGCGCGCGAGGGTCGTCGAGAATGGCTTGCAAGCGAGGGTCGCCCAGGCTTGCCGGCTCCATGTTGCGGAACATCGAACCCGACTGATCCGCCGGGGCTAGGAGGGCGCAGTATACTTGGGTGGCGGCGCCTCGTGACGCGCACTGCATCTTGCGCCCTGCGGTGATCTTGGAGCAAAAGTTGACCGCGTCGACGGCAAAGGCAGCGAGACCTTGCGCGCCATAGCGATTTTGCAGCTCCCTTGCATGCAGCGCGCTCGCTAGAATGGTGTCGCCCACGTGGCCCATCAAGGCGGCCCCGGCTGCCGCCTCATCGGCCGCGGAGCGGAGAAGCTCAGCTAGGCTCTCCTCGTCCGGCGCCCCTCCTTCGGGTACGTTGAACGGCATGAGCCGGCCGAGCTCCGTGAGCGGCGTCAACCAGCGTGTGCCGCCAACACGCACGTACGAGCCCATCTGCGACGTCGGATCGGGCTTGGCTATCACCGACGGAATGACAACGACCCGCGGCGCGGCTGCTTGAAGCAAGAGTGGGAGCAGCAGCTTGCTGAGCTCAAAATGAGCGAGGTGGTTTATGCCGAGGGTGAGCGGGAAGGCGGAGAGATCGACCGCCGCACCGATGGAGCGGCTGCGTGCGTTGAGGATGAGCACGTCCAAGGCGGCTCCCGACTCTTGCAGGGCAGCCCGGGCAGCCTCAGCACACGCTCGCACGGCATCGAGGTTGCTCGTGCCGCAAGGCAGAGGGGAGAACTTCCCCTCCGTGGTCTCGCGCCGGAGAGTCTCGACTGTGCCACGAGCTTCGTGCGCGGTACTCCCGCCCACGAGGACGTGCGCGCCACCCGCGGCGAGGACTCGTGCCGTCTCCCATCCAGCACCTGCAGTGGCGTCCGAGACGAACGCGGTGCGCCCCTCCAGCCGGATGCCAGCGGCGACGTCGTCCGCCGTCACCCTGATGGGGAATCCTGTTGCGCCAACCTTGGTGTTCTCTCTATAGACGAAGGCGCAGCCCGACAGTATCAAAGGCAGCATCACCCAACAAATGATGAAGTTGCGCTCCTTTGGGTCCCAGCCCACCGAGCCGACCCGCCGACCCTCCCTCTTTGCACGTGCGCGCGCGGCCATCCCCTCCTCGGCGCACATGCTCGCATAGTAGTGCATTGCAATGCCACCCAGGACGTTCACCATGGCGAGGCGTCTGCGAGCGCAACGCGCTCGGCCGGCTGATGTGCGGCGTCGTACTTTACGTGACGTCGGATTTGATTCATTACGAGCCAACCCACGGCATCGCGCTGCCGCGAGGGACCGCGGGGCCCATCCGCGTTGGTGTCCCAGTAGGAGCCAGACTGTGTTTCGCTCCTATCAATCAATCAATACTAGTGGGTGGGTGGCTCTAAGGGGAAGGGTGCGGGGGACGCCCGGGTGAGGGCTTGTGCCCCCCCCGGGGGGGGGGGGCAGAAAGGTCAACTCGTGTCTACTCGCCTCGTCGGCTCCATCGGCTGCCTCTCCTCGTGCGCCGGCTGCCTCTCCATCCAACCGCTTCTGCGTCCTTCTCTGCCCGGTGCTCGCGATGTCGCTCTGCCGAGAGGGTCATCGCCGGCGTAGGCGGAGCGGCGGGCCCTTCGTTACAGAAGCCCACGGCCACGGAGCTGGCCTTGCCATACCGTCCGCCTTGCGAGCGTGCTCACGCACGATCCTGGGCTCGTGCTTGCACGCGGTCGCAGCGTCATCAAGGCTCCACGCCATGACAGGACCGGCCATGCCGGGTGCCCGGGTGGCGTCCTCGCAACATCTGGAGAGGTGGGCAAGGCCTCTGAGGAGGCGTGCGGAGTGCTGGCAGTGAGCAACAAGATCGCTCCCGTGGCGCCAAAGCGGCGTGCGCGCGGCGGCAAGGCCAGCTGCGCGCACCGGCTCGAGAACTTCCGGCAGCACAAGGCTGCGGCACCTGCGGCTGCTCCTGCGATCAAGTGGGAGCAGCTCGCCCACGGCCTCTTGCGTCAGCAACGCGCGACTCTGCGTGACGGCGCGCGAGCGGCCTGGGTGCGCATGCGCGCCGCCCGAGATCGGCGCGGCGGTGCGGAGCGCGTGGAGGTGTAGGTAGGGTCTCTCTCTGCTCGCGCGTCACCTCGAGTCCCTGCCCACCCACTGCTTGATCCAACCCTTGGCCCTCTGATGTCCAGTGCAGCGCATGTACTCTTGGTGTGTGTGCTGTGGGCCCTCCTTGTCTCTTTGCAACCTGGGGGCTGTTGTTGCGACGAAAAAACAAATGAGTTCGGGTTTGGGTGTTTTCAGTGCGTTTCAAGCGAGCCAGCCTGTGGCAGAACACTTCGCTTCGCGCTGCAGCGCTTGGGCCACCGCCCTGGCCATGTGCGAGCTTTTGCCGGCCACGGCGGCTACCAAGAGGATGGGCCCGGGCTCTGGCGCCGCGAGCACGGTGCCACCTCGACGTGAGTAGGCCCTGAAGCCGCCCGGCGCTCGCCGCGCTGCCCACGCCAGAGAGTGGCTTGCTGCCGCACCACCTCTCGTGACTGTACTAGGCGGGACGGAGGTCGACACTGGTCAGCACCGCGGCTGGTGACGCCACGAGGCGCCCGCCAACTCTCGGCGACGGTGAGACGGTGCAAGATGTGCAGCTCTCGGCAGACGTCGAGGCGCTCGAGCTGCGGTGCAACGAGCCGCTTCGCTCCCGTACGACCCGCTTGTACAGTGACAAGTGTGTGTGGCACGGCTCGCTCCCGTCTACACGCTCGACTTCCTCACCAGGGTGCGCCGCTTGCGCGCACGCACACCTATTGCCCGCCGCACACGCGCACCCTGCCACAGACACGTCGATGTCGCGCACTGCTCAGGTGGGGCAGACGTTCCCAGGCTCGACGCCTGAAAGTGTTGTCCTATCATCCGCGCTCGTCGGCGACTCGACCGACTTCCCCAGCGAGAGTGTTGCGAGCAACAGGGTCGCCTCGGCGGCTTGAGCTGCGCAGCGACAGATCACTCCTCACCAGGCAAGCTGCGGCCCGGACGGCCGCGTCTCGTAGTTGCACACCCGTGGCGACTACGTTCCCGCGGCGGTGACAATGTCCCGTGTTGACGACGGGAGACACTGGTGTCACGCGCCGGCTTGCTTGCGGCTCGGCGCGCGCGCCGCCGCGCGTGGCGGCCGCGTGAGGCGTTGCACACCCTCGTTCGGGCGTGTGTCGTGGCTGTGTTATGTGTGTTTGGTCCTTGCACGCAGATTTTGTCTTTTTATGAATGTTTGCTACTCGCGTACTCGCGGGGAATGATCACTGGCAGGCAAAAAAATAAAGAACCGACGTCCGTCCCCTTTGACCTTTCGCGCGAACTCCAGTCTCCACCGCGCATCACGGCCGCTGATATCGTGGCGACCCTGTTGCTCGCAACACTCTCGCTGGGGAAGTCGGTCGAGTCGCCGACGAGCGCGGATGATAGGACAACACTTTCAGGCGTCGAGCCTGGGAACGTCTGCCCCACCTGAGCAGTGCGCGACATCGACGTGTCTGTGGCAGGGTGCGCGTGTGCGGCGGGCAATAGGTGTGCGTGCGCGCAAGCGGCGCACCCTGGTGAGGAAGTCAAGCGGGTCGTACGGGAGCGAGCCGTGCCACACACACTTGTCACTGTACAAGCGGGTCGTACGGGAGCGAAGCGGCTCGTTGCACCGCAGCTCGAGCGCCTCGACGTCTGCCGAGAGCTGCACATCTTGCATCGTCTCGCCGTCGCCGAGAGTTGGCGGGCGCCTCGCGGCGTCACCAGCCGCGGTGCTGACCAGTGTCGACCTCCGTCCCGCCTAGTACAGTCACGAGAGGTGGTGCGGCAGCAAGCCAGTCTCTGGCGTGGGCAGCGCGGCGAGCGCCGGGCGGCTTCAGGCCTGCTCTCGTCGAGGTGGCACCGTGCTCGCGGCGCCAGAGCCCGGGCCCATCCTCTTGGTAGCCGCCGTGGCCGGCAAAAGCTCGCACATGGCCAGGGCGGTGGCCCAAGCGCTGCAGCGCGAAGCGAAGTGTTCTGCCACAGGCTGGCTCGCTTGAAACGCACTGAAAACACCCAAACCCGAACACCCTCATGCGGTTTCTGGTTCTCTACTGGCAGACACATATGTCCAGGGCGGCGTCGCGCGACCACTCGCGGGATCAGTCCCTTGCTTCGACGGCGAGCACCGCGGTCGCCGACGGCGCACTCCTGGCCGGCCCGCTCCTCAAGCGTTCGGAGTGGCTCCACGTGTGGAACGCCCGCTTCGTCGTGCTCACAACAGAGGTGCTCGCGTGGCTGCGGACTGCGGCCGTGCTGGACGGAGGGGAAAAGGAGCAGAGGGCGGTGCTACTTCACTCTTCCTTGCGCCTCGACGCCTCCGACGGCGAGACGCTCCAAATCACCGTCCCCGGCGGCGCTCCGCTCATGTTTCGCGCCTCCTCCGCAGCCGAGCTCCGCTCGTGGCACCGCGTCCTTGGATCGCTGCTCAGCGCGCTGCAGGCGGAGGCGGCGGAGGTGGCGGCGATCCTGCGGGAGCGCTCCTCGCTCCTTGCGCCGCGGCCCTGCACCGAGCTTGCGCACATGGGCTCGCGCAACATGCGCGCCAGCCGAATCACCAAGGTGCCAGTGCGACACTCTCCCCGGGCGGCTACCGCTGCCGCAGGTGTCCAACCTCAGAGCTCACACGTGCCGCAGGTGTGGTACCTGTGCGCCTCTGCGAGCGCCGACGAGTCGTTTGCGCGCTCTGGGCCGCTCATCGACCCGTACCGTGCGTCGGCGCTCGCGCCCACCGGCGGTGGCGGCCTCGCCGGCCTCGGCGGAAGCGGCGGAAGCGGCGGAAGCGGCGAGAACGGCGGCCGCGCATTGCTTTTGCTGAGCCTGCTGCAGCTTCCGACCGCCTGGCCGCTGTGGGAGGGCGCGAGAGCGAGCCGAGCCGGGCGGTGCTCAACGCACAGCTCCCCGACCGGCGGGCCGCCCGCCGTTAGGCGCCGCGCCGCGAGCGTTCCACTCGATCCTCGAGCAGCTCGCTGGCTCGGGTGTCCCCGGCCTGCTGCCGCCGATCCACGCCGAGGCGCTGCCGAGGCGACGGCGCGTGCTCGTCCTCCGCCGCCTCCTCCCGCGCGGCTCGCTTCGCGATCACATGCACGCCGTCTCCACGCCCACGCTGCCCTCCTCTGTCAAGTATGGGACCGCGCTGCTCAGCCATCCCGCCTCGGCCGTCCTCACCGCCGCCGCATCGGCCGCCGCGCTCGCAGCGGAGCGAAGCAGCCGCCACTCCGGGTCGGCTCCGCCCCGCCTCAACGCCGCCCTCGAGCGCAGCGCCGTCCCGCTTCCCGCCCGCCTCGCCTCGTCGGTCGGGCGCCGCGTCTTGGCGGCGGCGGCGGCGCTCGAGGCGCGCGGGCTGCCCGCCTCGCACCTGCACGCAGGCAACGTGCTGCTCGACGAGCACGCCTGCCGCCTCTCCGAGTACGAGCTCCCGCTCCTCGGCCTCCCGCCCTACCACGAGCTGCTCGCCAAGCCGCGGCCGCACCCGCTGGCCACGGAGCCCTTTCGCGTGCGGCCCTCGACCCTCGCCGCCGCGCACCTCCTCTACGAGATGGTGGCCGGCGCGAGCCTGAGCGACGCCGCGCTCGCGCGGTGGGAGGGCAGCGGCGAGCCCGCCGCCGTTGGCGAGCCCGCCGCCGCCGCGGCAGACCCGGCATCGCACCACGCGTGGCGGCTGCTGCGCTCCATCTTTCTGCCTCCGCCAGAGGCGACGGAGGCGCCCACGATCGCCGCGATGCTCCGCTCGCCATTCTTTGCGCCGGAGGCCTCCGCCGGAGCGCAGCCCTCCTCCGCAGCCGACGGAGGCGGCCGCGGCGAGTTGCCGTCGCAGTGGTCGTCAGAAGAGGAGGCGCCGCCGCGAGAGCACCCGAGTGGGATTGGCGAGACGTTCACGACAGCTCACGAGATGACCGAGCTTGGGCCTTCAGGCGCTGCTCGCCGCGGCGCGCGCGCGCTTCGGCGAGCCGCTCGTGCTGCGCCGGCCGCGCGGTGGCCGCGACGAGGCACCCGCCGGCACCGTCGGCGGCTCGCCGCCGCGCGGCTCCTCCGGCTCCCCGCCTTGCGGCGTTGAGGGCGATTGGCTGCTCGTCGAGCCTCGGTCCAACGAGGAACCGGCCGGCGAGCGGCAGCCGGCCGCGCGCCCGCCGCCACTCGCCGGCGAGCGGACATGCGACTCGTTCGTGTCGGCCGCCGAGCCGTCCCCGCTGCCAGGCGTCGAGGCATCAGCGTCGCAGGCTCCCCCCTGCGACCTCTTTGGCAGCAGCGTGGAGGCCCTCGGCGCGCGGCGCGCCCTCCGCCTGGTGCGTGCGTGCGGCAAGACGCTGCGCGGCCGGCGGCTCGAGGAAGACCTCTCTGTGGCTCGCGACGAGGCGGCGGTGGACGCGCTCGAGGCGCGGCTCTGCGCGCACGAGGGGGACGGGGGAGACGGGGGGGAGGGGGGGGGGCGCGTCCACGGGGCGGGAGCCGGGCGGAGAGAGGACCCGTGGGACGCGGGCTTGCCGCTGCGAGGGTCGGAGCCGTCGCATTTTGCCGCCGCGATCCTCGATCGCTGGCTTCGCGCGATGCCCGCGCCGCTGCTGCAACTGCCGCAGTCGCGGCCGCCTCCCGAGCCTGACGACGCCGAGCTGGCGGCGCATGCCGCTGCCGCCGCGATCGAGGCCCTTCCGGCGGCGCGCAGGCAGGTCGCCGTGGCGGTGCTGCTCATTCTTCGGGAGGCGGCGGTGACCGACCAGGTCTGCGAGGTAGCTGCGGCGGCGCTTTTCCACAAGACCAGCGCCGCCGCGACTCGCGCCGTGCGTCGGCTGCTTGCGTTTCCCCTGGCTCCCGGCGGCGGCATCTCGGTCGAGGTGGAGGCGCCGGAGGCCTCCGACACGCTAGCGCCAGGAACGCCTCCCGACCGGGCGGGCGGCGGAGGCGAGCTGGAGTCAATCCTGTTCGGTAGCCTAGATTGCTGGCATAGCAACCTCGACGCTAACGCTACCGGCCCCTTCGGTCGGACTGCCTCTGCCGCTTCGCTCGCTGCGCTGGAGGAGGCGCCGCCGACCAGACGGGAGGAGACGCTTGCTGTGGCGCCACCGCCGCCGCCGCCGCCGCCGGTGTCGCCGCCACTGGAGATGCCACCGTCGCAAGGCGCAGAGGCACCGCCGCCGCCGCCGCCGCCTCCGCCGCCTCTGAGGGACGCGCCGCCCCTCCCAGCGGAGGACGACTCGGCGGTCGGGCGGAAGCAGCCCTCGCCTCGCAGCGCGATGAGCACCTCGATGTCCTCTCCAGACCTGCGCGCCGCCGCCGCCGATCGGTGGCCCGCGCCGATGCCGATCGCTGCGGGGGCGCTCCCAGCGGAGGTGGAGGCGCAGCTCGCGCGCCTGTCAAACCGCAACAGGCCGTCGCACTACCGATGGACGAGCCCGCTTCTCGAGGCCATCGCGTCGGGCGCCGCGCCGCAGGTGTCCGACCTCAGCAGCTCCGTGCGAGGGAGGCCCCTCTTCCTTGTGGCGGGCGCTTGCCCCTCGATGCTGGCGGGCATGCAGGTAGTAATGTTCACCGCGATGGACGCCGGCGAGGGCGGCGGGCAGGCGCTCGACTTTTGGTGGGTCAAGCCGCGCGAGGGGGAGGCGAGCAGCCTCGAGGCGCAGACCCTTCACCGCCATTCCCGCGGCCCGCACAAAAACGACCCCGGCCGCTCCAAGGCGGTCTACGGCCCGATCGCAAAGCTGTGGGACGGCGAGGACGGCTTGCGCGCCAGCCGCGGTGCCCTCCGCTTTGGTTTCGGCAGCGATTCAGGGCTGAGCTCCGCTTGGATCGAGTCCGTGGCCACGGGCGAGCGGTACCACCTGTGCCTGGTCTGGCTCGAGGAGTGGTCGAGCCCGTTTGCGCGTAACAAGTTCATGCGGGGCAAGATGGTCTATAGACGACGCGCCAACGGCGGCTTCTTTGCGCGCCCTCTATCGATCGTCAACGACACGATCGCCGTCGGGACAGGCGTCGCCGACGTTGAGGACGTCGGAGCCGCGCCGCTGCCGCCGGACGGCATCAAACTCGGCTGCTACGAGGTTCCTTTGAAAGAGAGTCCGTCGTGAGGATCCTGAGAGGAACTGTCTCACATGACGATTACATTTAAAGTACAAAAAACGAACACTCTCTGTTCCTTTAAGGTGTGACAAACACACCAAGAGCAAAAGACCACACCAAGCGCGCGCGCCCGCCCCACGATCACTGTGCAACACACGACAGGGTCAGTCGACTTCGGCGACGATGGGTGGCGCATCGTGCTCGAGCTGCGCGCTCGGCGGCACCTGCGTCGCGAGCACCGGCGGCGGCGGCGCGGACGCCGCCGGCGCGGCGAGGCCCGCCTCGACGGCGCTCTGCTGCAACACCATCTGCAGCAGCGCGTCCTATGAGAGGCAATGCTGAGGTGTGCTCCGAGAGACCTCGAGGGTGTTACCATCGTCCGCGCGTTCGTTTGTCCTCGTCCATCTGCAGGAGCTGCTCCTCGGTGTAATTCTGGCCGCCGCCGCCGCCGCCGCCGCCGCCGTCGCCGCCGCCGCCGCCGTCGCCGCGTGCCACCACCAACGCCTCGTCGATCACGGGGTCGCCTACTCCGCACGCCTGGGACGCGTCGGCGAGCCTTTGGCCCGCGCACAGCGCGCCCGCCGAGCGAGCCCCGCATCGCCCCATCCCAAACTCGAGATGCGAGCTTCCGCCACCACGCCAAGCGGCGCCGCAGAGGCAAGCGCACCGCCCGACGCCGAGAAGAGGGACGCTGCGGCGCGAGACGCGCCCTCCGCCCGCGCCGCCGCCGCCCGCGCCGCCGCAGCCGCCCCCACCCCTCCGGCCTCCGCGCCCGGCGCCGATGTCGGCGCCCACGCAACGCAGAGCGGCCGACTCGGCGGCGTGCGCGGCGGAGGGGGCGGGTCGCCTGGCCGCGCCGGCGGCGGTGCGACTCGGTGGAGCACGCCCTCGGCCTTGAGTGCGACCTCCTCGCGCATCTGCTGCAGCGTGTGCCCCACCTCCTCGCTCGTCTCTCGCAGCGCGGGCCCGGCCGCCTGTTTAAGAGGGCCGTCTGGCACACACAGCGCACGAGCCGCGGGGGAGGGGCGGAGAGAGAAGCGAGACCAGCGGGACACAGCGAGGGAAGGGGGGGGAGGGGGGGGCAGAGACGCGAGGGGGACGCGAGGGACCCGGCAGGCCAGGCCGCCTGCTTGATCGCCTCGATCTTCTCCTGCGCCGCCTCTGTTCGGTCGCGCCACCAGCCTCCGATCTGGGTGGCCGCGTTCTGCCAGCCCAGCTTCATCTCCTCGCCCTTGCGGTGCAAATTCTCGGCCAGCCCCGCCGCCGCCGCCGGGTCGATTCCGCGCTCGACTGCGGCGGACGCGACGCCTGCCGCCGCCTCTTGCCCCAAGCCTATCATCCGCACCGCCCCTCGGGTCGCGAGGCGCGTGGGCGGAGGCGCGAGGCGGGAGGTGCAGGCGAGCGAGGCCTAGCCGCCCGAGCGCATGTGCGAGAACCGCGCCGCCCTCCTCCTGCGGCTGCCGCCGCCGCCGCACCTCCAGCAAGATGCTCTGCTCCGCCGCCTTGACGTGCGCCAACAGCCCCTCAAAGCCAGCCGCCCCGGCCGTGAGGCCGTCGATCGCAGCCACGACCTCGCCCTCCCGCAACAGCGCGCGCCCGTCACCAGAGTCGGAGGGCAGCAGCGCCCCAATGTACACCTCGCCCGACTCGGCTCGCTTGAGCACCAGCCGGAAGAGACCGCCCGAGTCGCGGCTCAGGCGCACGCCGACCACGTCGTTCGCATCGGCGCGGCCGGCTGGCGTGCCACCACTGGGCGTGGGCGCGGCGGCGGACGCGGACGCGGCCGCCGCCGCCACCCCCGCCGCCGCCTCCGCCGCCTCCGCCGCGGCGGCGGCTTCCGCGGCGGCGGCGCGGCCTGCAGCGACCGCCGCAGCCGCGCCCGCGCCCTCGTCTTCGACGCTGCTGGTGCTGAGCTCCGCGCGCCCTGAGCTGAGAGAAATGGAGGCGAGCGATGCGCGCCCCTGAGGTGCACTGTCGACGCCTCCGCTGGTGACAACGCCCTCCTCGCTCTCGCCGCTCTGCTCTACAAGAGCGCTCCATGTGGCTGCGGCGGCGGGCGGTGGTGGGAATACTGGGGAGACGTCACGCGAGCTCTCGCGGACTCTCTGCTCGATACGCGCGTGCGTCGCGTCGAGGGCGGTCAGGTCGGGGAGGAGGTCGTCCATGAGTGGCCAGCAATGAGCTGCTGCTTGCTGATGGCAGCGCAGAGTGGCCGGCACTGGCGGCGAAAGCCGCCGCAAGCCGAAAAGAATTTTGTCCCTTATCGCTCGCCAAGCCCCGTCGATGAGTGGTCAGATGGTTAGTGCCCGAGAGCGAGGGGTCCGGGGGGGAGCACAAACATAGGACGCCCAGCCTTGCCCTCGTGCCGCCGAGTGCATATCCTATGCGAGAGAGATCCCCTGTGCCCTGTGCCCAGCCCTCTCCTCCGCGCGGCGATGCGCCCTCCCCCCTCGCTTTTGCAAAATCCTGCAAAGGTGGGGACGTGTCTGTCCTCGACCCAGCCCTAGCTTGGGATGTCCGTTGTATTTATCTATTTATGAGAATCCTTGGGGGTCTGACTCTGCCTGTGCTGTCCCATCCCTCCCTAGGCCGGGGCTGGATTGTTTCTTTCTTTTCGCGGGCTTCTGCTCCTCGGAGCTGACGTCTGTGGTCCGCAGTACTGTTAACAGTACAGATTCTGCCTTTCGTTTAGGCGCCTAAACACTCAGGAGATAATAATAACAGTACAGATTCTGCCTTTCGTTTAGGCGCCTAAACACTCAGCGAGGTTGAATGTTGTTGTGTGTCGCGACGAACAAACCGTGCGTTGAGTGAGCTCTGCTGTGCCCACATACACCCCTGACGCCTGACATAACACGCCCCTTGGGCTCGGCGAGGTTTTCCGGAAAACAAAAAGGAAAACAGAGGGTCCCCAGCACTTTGCGTTTCCGGAAATTTCCAGGGAAAACAGAGGGTGTTTGGTGCTCCATTCTGGAAACTCGCTGTTTTCCCTGAGTCTGAGAGCTGGTCTGGGGCAAAATCTGAGGCAAAATTGAGGAAATCGACAAAATACCCAGGCGGTCGCAGGGTAAATTCCAGGTATGCACGGGTTCTCCGCAAAATTCCCGGCATTTTGCCGATTTGGCCTAAAATTTGGCTGATTTTGGGCCCAAACCAGCCTCAGACTCGGCTCAGAGCCCAAAATTTGACGATTTCCACGGAGTTTGGAAGAAGAGTCTCGGAGTTTTCCGAAAAGAGAGAGGGAAAGAGAGGGTGTTGTAGAGAAAAAAGGAAAGGAAAACAGACGGGGTGCGAGAGGAAAACCTCGCCGAGCCCAACACGCCCCCCATCGCCCCAAACGCCGCGCACAGCGCACATCGCCGATTACGGCGAACGAGCAAAGGTGATGTGCGAGGTTGTCCAACTGTTGAATGACGGGCACATTTTGCAGCCCAGAGTCGGGGCGTCGTCACCACTTTCGCCTGCGCACATATGGTCGCCAGCGATGCCGAGATTGGGGTAGAGGTCAACGTGAAAGAGGAGGCGGCGAAGTCGTCGCGGAAGGGGCTCATCACCCTGAGCGTAGTCGGCCTTCTCTGCGTCGGTGGCCTTGCCGGTGGCCTCGCCGGCGGCCTTGCGAACCGTGGGGACGATGACGATGAGGAGCATGTTCACATGCCTCTCGCCGGCACGTGGCTCTCGAACTATGGCTGCTACCTGACCGTCACCGACGAACTCTGGCGCGCGCGCCGCCCTCTCGTATTGAGCTTTACCGGAAATCGCGCACCGCACCGCCTCCGCGACAGCCGACCTTTCCTCTGCCCGCCTTTGCAGGTACGATGTCTGTTCGTGGGGCACCACCGTCAAGAGGATCGAGACGTACGAGCCGAGCTTTGCAGTGCTGCAGATGCCGGCCGAGGACACGTACAACCCGAGCAAGTACCTCAAGACCGAGTTCCACTCGCTGCCCGGCGGCGGTTGGGGCTACTGCGACTCGATCTACGGACTGGATCACGCCTCGCAGGCCTTGCTCGCGGACACGAGCGAGCTCTACGACGCGGCCAACGCCACGCACGGCTGCGGCGGCCGGTTCTCGCACTCACTCCTGACTGCCTATGAGCTCCCGATCCGTGGCACATGGGCGACCAACTTTGGAGCGACGCTCACCATCTCGAACGGCGCGTGGGAGTCGGTCCACGCGACGCGGGGCACCACTATCTACCGCATCGAGGCCTATGGAGACGGCTGGGTGCTCATGCAAAACTCGGCCGAAGACCTGTACTACCCGAGCCAGTACAGCAAGGTCGAGTGGCACACGAGCGGCAGCGGCTTTGGCTATTGTATCAGCGTGTACGACGGGTCCGACTCGGTTTCGGCCCTCTTGGAAGACACCTCCGCCATCTACGACGCGGCAAACGCCACGAACGGCTGCAACGGCTTTGGCCACACCTTCACCTCGCCCGCGCAGTAAACGCACCGGCGCCGCCAGGTCGCCGCGCAGCGGGACCTCATGGGAGACGTGTCTGAAAAAAGATGCAAGCAGCGCGGGGGGGGGGGGGGGGGGCTGGCCGGGAGCGTGCGCTGCCTCTCCGGTGCGCTCTTGGCCTCTTGCACGATCCTCCCGTGCAAAAATGCGCGTGGCCACGGGCCCGCGCGCACACATACGTCAGCATCTCTGTGAGCTGTGAGGGTCCGCCCGCAGGCGCATTTGTGTACCGTAGGCGTTGCCCGGTGCCGAGCGCAGGCGGTGTCTCTCAAGAGAGGAAGGGGAGTGGCGTCATTCATGCCGATGGCTAGATCTAGAAGTAGAAAGAGCAAGCGGCGAGGGGTGGGCTGCGTGGCCCGGATCCCGCGCGGATCTGTGGAAGCTCTGCCGTGCAGGCCGGCGCGCGGAGAGATCGAGTTCGAGAGTCGAGAGAGGTGTTCCCGCGCCGACGGGAAATCTTTATGCATACTACCACACGTGCGATTTCGCGCCGCCCGTATTTCTGCGGCTACGGGGTGTGGAGGGTGAGTTGAACAGGGGTTGTGCGCCAAGCCCTCCTGCTCGGCTCCAGCGAGTAGACAAGTGTTACCATCAACAGAGGAGAAGGATATGACCTCAGGGCTGATGTGACCAAGCGCTGGTAGCGTGGTTTTACCTCACACCCATGGTCTCACAGTGTGCCGGCAGTCGCCGAGCAGTGTCGCTCACACAAGCCGCAGCACAAGTGACTGAGGGCCAGTGAGGGCGAGCCCATCGCTGTCACAGCTGTGGCAGCCGCACAGTAGGCTGTGTCAGCTGTGCAGAGTGTGTGAGCAGCAGAGGAGCTTCACTCCAGGCTTCTGTCGCAAAGAGCTGCATGCCACCGAAAGCGCTGTCGAGGTTCGCCGAGCGCGGCGCAGGTTGAGGGAAGCCGCCACCGACGAGCGCGTTGGAGTTTTCACTCCGGACAAAAAACGCGGCACAGCGGACGGTGCGGGGCGTGCCGCAAACATAGCGGCGAGGCGCGGGACCGTCTGTGGCGAAGTGGGTCGCGTCCCCTCCCCCGATTTTGTTCAACCCAGCATCCACACCCTTTACACACACGGGTGTATACCGCGAGAGAGAGACTGAGAGAAGCTTGTTTTTGTTTTCAGACTAGGGGGCCCGACCCCCTCAGAGGCGGCGGGCGGGCGCCCACTCACGCCCAGAGATCAAAACGCTCGGCCACACTCAGCTCTCACGTTCTTCGTTCTCCACTGTGCACTGTGGAGAACCCCCCACAGTAGTGCACAGACGCCCCACCACACGTGACCCCCTGCCGAGAGACCCTGCACTGCCACGCAACGCCCTGTATCGCGGGACGATCACTCGAAGCCACTGATGCCTCGGCGCGAGCGGGTCGGCACCGGAGTCGCCTATGGAGAGCGTCACGCGGCCGCGTGACATGCGCCACGGCCTCGCGTCAACCCCCCGGTCGGCACGCGCGCCCATTCGAAGCTGAGCTGAGACGTCGCGCCGCGGACCCGCCTCTCGACGTCACCCACCGGGATGCCTATATAACGGCACGGGCGTCGACGATGATGCTTCGTCTCATCCATCCATCCGCCGCCGCCCCGCGCCTGTCTCCGTCCTCAGCAGCTCAAACCAGGCGTGCAGTCGCGGCCGCCTGTAGAAGAGCGCCTCGTCGGTCCACTCCTCCCACCCAAAGTGAGAGGGCAGCGCCTCGTAGTAGAGGCAAAACGACGGGAAGATCAGGCCATCTGCTGCGGTGGGCGAGCCGCCCGCCAGCAGCGGCCCACACGCCTCCGCTTCGAGCGCGTCCAGCCCGAGAGAGAGCCGGACGAGGCTCTCGGCCCGCTCCTCGGCCGGCTGCTCGCTCTCCCAGATGGCCGGCTCCTCGGGCGCGATGCGCTCCTCGAAGAGGGACGTGAGCGTGTGCGACTTTGCCGAGTCGCCGCCGCCGTCGGGCAGTGCAGCGAGGAGCGTCTCGCGCGCGAGGGCGAGATCGCGTGGGAGTGAGCCGAGCGCGAGCAGCATATCTAGATACACAGGTTGTGAGGCGGCGTGCGCGCGCGCCGCATGCAAAAAGAAATTTTAAGCCCAGGGCCCACCCGGAGAAGCTGTGCGATTTCGGGGCTCACCGGGTTATTTTTCACTTGACGTGACCTGACGTGACAAATGATGAGGAGGATGCTCGTCTGCCTCCTCGCTGCCTCCGCCGGCGCGTACCACCTGCCAGCAAGCGCCAAGCTCCAGCAGGGCGTCAAGATGACAGCGCCACCACCCCGGGCGATGGCGCCAGCGATGAAGAAGGGTGTCCTGCAGGAAGTACAGATCGACGACGGCAATGGCTCACGGAAATACGTCGACCCGGCGAGCTTACTATTGACTGTACACTCTGCCACTCGCCGCCTCCGACCTCACGCTACCGCCCTCGCCGCCTCCGCCAGCAGCTTCACCACCATCACCACCGCCGCCCCCACAGCCACCGCCGCCGCCGTCGCACGACACTGATGCCCTCCCGCTTGTCGTTAGGTGGACCTAACGCCCCAGTTCACGCTCTTCTTCACGATCATGTTCATCCTCGAGTACGGTCGCTATCACCCGCTCTGAGGTGGATGGCTAGCTGTCGCTGCGCTAGTGTTGCTGTCACACAAGCATGTGTGGTGGTCTCATGGCCTCGAGCACGCTCGCGGCCTCGCGCCGGGTGCATGTGGGGCGCGGAGCGTATCCACGGAGCGTAACGTCAAACATGCTTTCATGCGTCTAGTGCCTCTTTCTCATGTCTCAACTTTTGCTTTCCAGTCGCTCTCTTCACTGCATTCACTCTTACACACATACTCCTCGCGGCTCCGGCCCCGGGCCCGGCTCGTCGCACTCGCAGCCGCAGGGATTCGCCGCTCGCGCCGCTGCTCGTGGTTTTGCGCAGCAAGCGGCCGCGCACCGCGCCGCAGAGCCGGAACGAGCCCGCGACAAGCAGCCACGTGCCGTGGCGCCTCGCCGCCGCGCGAGCGCGCCCTAGCGAGCCCGCTCGCCGCTGCCGACGTCGGCCGCCATCTCCGTCTCGACGACGGCGCCGCCTCCTCCGCGCTCCGCCGCCAGCAGACACCGCCTCGCGGAGCCGGAGGGCCTAAAAAGGGAGCCCGGGCCCATCAACGAAGACATTTTGGAGCGGGCGCGCCGCCTCGCAGAGGAATAGCTGAAGCTGCCGCCACGTCGCCGCCGGGCCTCGGGACAGCGCCCCGGGCGGCGGCGGTGGGGGGCACGTCGCACACCACGGCGTGCGGCGGCCAGCGGCGCGAGCGACGCGAGAGCGGCGCCTAAGGTGAGGTGAGGCAAGGTCAACTTCTCCACACACATGGTGGGTGGGGCAAGGGCCAGGGCAGCCCTCGCGCGGCACCTGTGCGCTGTGGCATCCGCTGTGCCCATGAGGGGTCGTCGATGGTGGAGCGTGCGAACGCGGGCGGCGCCGATTATCACCTTTACCACCCAAGACTGCATCCAGACGCCTCTAGAAGGAAATGGAGTCACGCACTTTTGGCACGCAGGGCTGCGCGGCCGCCAGTCGCCACGCGAACGCTCCAGACGACGTCCCTGCATCGAGTACGCGGCGAGAGCGCGAGCGTGAGCGGTTGCGCAAGGTCTCGGCTTGTAGACAGCAAGAGCGGCGCGAGAACCCTTCTCCGGCCGCAGCACAGCGCTACCGCGAGTACTTGCTCTGGACGGAGACGAGGCCGGTGCAGTTTGGCGACGAGCCGCCAAACGACACGTACGAGATCTTCATGAAGGAGCGCCGGCGCGCGAAGGAGAAGGCGCGGCTGCAAGGTGTGGCACGCAAGCGGCAGGCGGAGAGACAACTGCAGCGTCAAACGGTCGTGTCGGACGCCGCCCTAGCTTCGCCCGCTGCGCAACCAGCAGCAAAGCGGCCCCGCGGCCGCCCAGCCGACCCCAACACGGAGCAGCGACGTCGCGATCGCCGGGAGCTGCAGCGCGAGAAGTCGCTCGCTCAGCAGCACCGTCGCGACGCTCGGGATGCAGCGAGAGCGGGGCAGCAGGTACGGAGCACGCTGCAGTTCATGGAGCTAAACCTCACACGTGCAAAGGCGGCGGGCTTCAATCCGTGGGGGGCGCTTCCTGACGATTCCACGCACGTGCAAGCATATGCATTTTGGCGCAGCAAGGCTTTGGGAGCGCAGGTTGACGCGAACCGGATGCGGCGCATGCCCGAGGCAGACGCTCTTGCAGCTACAGCTTTCGCGCGGACATTGACAGCCCGGGCTGCGAAAGCTGGATGGGCGGCGGCGGCCGAGCGGGCCACCACGGCTGATGCGATCGGAGAGGCACGCGCGGCCTCAGCTGCGGCGGCAGCGCATGCTCGGTATGCAGACGCTGTGGCAGTCGCGGCAGCCGGCGCACAGAGTGTTGCCTCGAAGCAGCGCCGCCGGCGCGAGAGTGGTAGCCTCTCGGCGCTGCTGCAGCCGTCGCAGCCGTGGGTGTCCGCGGCGTTCGCGGCCGTCAGCGCACCGCTGCCCGAGTGTGGCTTGGACGCAGATGGCGCCGCGCCGCCAGCGCTGCTGCCGCCGCCGCCGCCGCCGGGCCAGCCTGCGCTGACCGACGCGGTGGTGCCGCGCGTGTGGTCAACGGAGGGGCAATGCGAGGGGATGACGCGCCAGAGCGGCGGGACAGAGCGATGCCGGGTGCATCGCAATAGTCCGTACGCAGTCGCGGCACCGCTGCGCCGCGGCGAGCGGTACTGCGGCCACCATCACCCCGACAAGTTCACCGGGGTGCAGTGCGCAGGGCAGCGCAAGCACGGCAAGGGCCGATGCCGAGTGTGGAGCGGTTGCTGCTATGCCGATGCCGCCCCGCTCCGTCGCGGCAGCCCCTACTGCCACCACCACCGCGTGCGCTGCGTGGGGCTGACGCAGTCCGGCGCGCGCTGCACCGTGACGAGCTCCTCCGAGAACGTGCACGCGCAGCCGCTGCGCGACGGCGAGCTGCACTGCGCACACCATCAGCCCGCGGCGCCATCGTCGCTTGCTCCATCGGCGCCCTGTCCACGCGCCGCGGTCAGCGATCGGGCCATCGTGCTCGGTAGCAGCGAAGATTTCGAGGGCCCGGACGGGCCGCTGCCGCCATCCATCGCGATCGTTGAAAGCGAGGCCAGGCTAGAGCAGGGCAACTGCCTTACGCAGCTACTCCGACGCTTCCCTGCACTTCACTACACCTCGATCAAGTACAGTGACCCCACACTCCCCCACTTGTGGGTGCTCCCGCTTGAGGGGCAAACGGCACAAACGGGCCGGCTCGCGGACTTCATGGTGAGCTTAGGGCTCACTGTGAGAGAGCAAGACCTTGACTACGAGAGCTCCGATGACGATGCAGCCAGCGATGTCGACAGCGCGCGTTGCGATGAGCCGCTGGACCCTGACGTAGAGGCGGAGTTGCCCGATTATTTTTAATAGGCATTGCGGCTAGAATGAATATTCGGTCGCCCGCCCCAAACGGGCTTCTTGGGTGGAAAGAAATGCCACTTATGCCCGGTTCCGCGGCCCGGGTTTTTTCTGCGAGCTTCTCGGATCTTGCAGGCGGCTCGCGCGATTCATGTCGACCCACGCCCGGCTGACCCGGTCGCTGCTGAGCCTGCTCGTGCTCGCGGGCAGCGCCTCTGCCAAGCGTGTCGAGGTGCGGGGCCGCCAGCTCCTCCTCGACGGCCAGCCCTTCGAGGTGCGCGGGATCTGCTACAGCCCGACGCCGATCAACGCCTCGGTCCACTTTGCTCCGTACGGCGACTACTTCACGGCCGACTTCTCCTTCATCTGGCTGCGCGACCTGCGGCTCATCAAGGCGATGGGCGCCAACATGCTCCGCGTCTACGGCTGGCTCCCCGAGAACGACCACTCCGACTTCCTCGACGCCGTCGAGGCGCATGGCCTCAAGCTGATGGCCACCTTTTACATGGGGGAGGCGAGCGAGTCGCCGGTGGAGACGGAGGAGCAGCGCGGCAAGGTGGTGCGCCGCTTCGCCGAGCAGGTCCGCCAGTATCGCGACCACCCCGCCCTCATCATCTGGTCGTTTGGCAACGAGCTGAACGGCGTGTGGAACGGCTACCTGCAGCAGCTCGGGCACAACCCGGCGGCGCCGTGCGCGTGGGACGAGCGGTACGACGACCTGGGCGGCTGCTGGATCCACAAGGGCAAGCCGCCCGTCCCCGGCTCGCAGTGCTACAACACCTCGTACTGCGTCTACTCGCGCCTGTTTGGACTCATCAACCAGGCGAGCCACCGGGACCGCCCCAAGCACCGCACCCCGCCCCCTCGCGGGGCCTGCCCCGCCCCCCACCACCACCCCCCGCCCACCACGCCCACCCGACCTACCTCACCCGCACCTGCACTCGCTCCCCGCTCAGGCCGCCGAGGCTGCCAAGGCCGAGGCTGACGTGCTCATCGTCTCGGCGATGGCGGACGTCGACGCGCTCTACGAGAAGGTTGCCCGCGCGGGGCACCTCGCGCCGTCGCTCGATGCGTGGACGGCGCAGGTCTACCGCGGCAACACGTTCGGCGACTTTTTCGGCACGATGAGCGACGCGACCGACAAGCCGGCGCCGCGCGCCACACACTCGCGCCGGCCGCCGGCGGAGCGTGAGCGAGTGTGATCGGTGCGCGTCAGGTGCTGCTCACTGAGTACGGCGTCGACGCGTACCACGACGTGTGCGGCACCCAGGCCACCACGCCCTGCTACAACCGCTTCGGCGACGAGTCGGGGTCGTACGTCGACGAGGCTGCGCAGGCACCTCGCCCAGGAAGGGTCCGAGAGGGCTCCGAGACGGTTCCGAGAAGGTCCCCTCCTCTTGCTGCGCAGGCGGACTACGCGCTCAAGCTGACGCGCGAGATTCAGTCCAACTCGTCGCTGCAGGAGCACTGCGGCCGCGCCAAGCGTGGGTCGACCGACGAGGACGGGTACCCGAATTGCGCCACCGTCGGCGGCTTCCTCATGTCGTGGGTGGACGAGTACTGGAAAGGCGCGACGGCGCAGGCCAAGTGCGCGCCGACGTACGACGACCCGGACTTTTCGGTCGCCACCTGCGACGACCACGCGCACGTGACTTGCGGCAACTGGAACGCCAGCGACCACGACCTCTGCGGGTGGAGCGCAGCCGGCCCCGACTCCCCGTGGACCTCCCCGTGGACCCACCCCCCAACCCCCACCCCCTGGGGGCACCTCTTGCGGAGACGAGCAGCTCCGACACGCCGACGCAACCACCCGCCCTCGACACCCGCCCTCGACCCGCTACCGCCCTCCCCGAGCCTTGGCCCCCCTCCCCACAGGTACAAGCTCGACGCCGCGCCCGACGGCTATGTCAACGAGGAGTGGTTTGGCATCACGACGCCGACAACCTGCGGCGACGACATCAACGCGATCGCGCCGCGAGACATCTTTTGGCAGATGCGCCACCACTGGACAGGTGCCGGGAAGGAGCCGTCCCTCTTTGGGAGTTGCGAGACGACGCTCAGCGAGAAATGCGCGGCGCGCGAGCTGCCGACGGGGCTGCCTTTCCTGCCGCCGCCGCCGCCGCCGTCGGGCGGCCACTGCTCGCTGCGCGGCCAGTGCGTCACCGACCACCGCATCTGCGGGCCGGGGGACGTCAACAGCTCGGTCACGCCGTGCTGCGCGTGCGATAGCGGCTTCGCGGGCAGCACGTGCGAGCAGCTAGACGCGCGAACCTACCTGGCCCTCGGGGCGGGGTCGGTTCTTGTGGGCCTCCTCGTCCTCCTCGCCATCACCACGGTTGTGGGCAAGCTCTTCCGCGCGGAAAGCGCCGCGAGGGCTGCGACGGAGCTAAAATGAGGCGGCTTTGCGCGCCCCTGCACTGTTCATGCTGATCTCCAAGCGCGAATGCCAGCGCAGTTTTTCGTTCGAGAGGGCGGGGGGAGAGAGATTGTGGCCGCGGGGTTGGCCGCCGGCTGCGGCGGGGGGGATCACACTGATTTTGTATTTCGGTCGGAGTACTACCTCTGTACGTATGATTTAGCTCTCGCTTCGTAGACTCTCGATAGACGATACACTGAGACCGCTCTGTCCCTCAGTCATCTTGATCACCTATTTATATTAATTATTATCAGTCTGGCATACCGTGTATATAAAGCCGTACCGACAAAAATGCGACACAGCAAAACGACTGCGCAGAGGCTAGTGCCCCATTTCACTCTGACACGCTAATCTTGAAAACGTCTCCAACGGAGCTCCGTGTTGCTTCCAGCGCCCTCCCCCGCGCTTTCCTGCCACCGTGCGGCCACAATGGCCGATGCTCCTAGGAAGAGAGGTCATCTGGCTACCGCGAGAGCGACTCAACTCGTCGACATCGTCCGATGATGGTGCCGCAAAGTCAGCCTTCGGAGGCTATCGTGGGGTCGAGCCGGCAGTAGCCGTGACATGTGATTCCACCACCCCTCTACCTACGACTACGTCGTACGGCTTTAGGCTTTGCCTCTGACCGCCACGGACACCCCGTTCCCAGGCTGCCTAATGGGATGGAAAAGGAAGCTAGGCTCGGCGAGGAAATGGCACCACTAGCCAGAGCGCACCGGCCACCGCGCCTTTATACCCTTTGTGGAGCTCCGTGTTGCTTCCAGCGCCCTCCCCCGCGCTTTCCTGCCACCGTGCGGCCACAATGGCCGATGCTCCTAGGAAGAGAGGTCATCTGGCTACCGCGAGAGCGACTCGACTCGTCGACATCGTCCGATGATGGTGCCGCAAAGTCAGCCTTCGGAGGCTATCGTGGGGTCGAGCCGGCAGTAGCCGTGACATGTGATTCCACCACCCCTCTACCTACGACTACGTCGTACGGCTTTAGGCTTTGCCTCTGACCGCCACGGACACCCCGTTCCCAGGCTGCCTAATGGGATGGAAAAGGAAGCTAGGCTCGCCGAGGAAATGGCACCACTAGCCAGAGCGCACCGGCCACCGCGCCTTTATACCCTTTGTTGAGTTTTGACCTTTGACACATGACGTGCGCGCGCGCAGCCCCCTTTTTGAGCTTATATGGGACCCAGCCGTATACCGTTCTGCGGCTCGTTGATTAATGGCTCGTTGATTTCTTAGTCGCCCATCTGAGTGCGCTCATATTCTTCTCGCACCGCCGCCGCCGCCTCCTCCTCCGCGTAGGGCGCGTCGTCGTCCGCCGCTGCATCGCCCCCTGTCAAGTCGCTCATGTCGGCGTCCTCGGCGGCGTCCGCCTCCCCGTCTGCGCCCTCCGCGTCCGCTCCCCCCTCCTCACCGGCCTGTCGCGCCGCCACCGCCGCCGGGGGAGGCGGGACCTCCAGCGGCCCTCCGCCTTCGATCGCGAGGCTCGCCTCGTCGCCCTCGTCGGCGTCGAGCTGATTGCTATCGGCGGCGGCGGCGGCGGCTGCCGCAGCGGATGTGGTGGCTGCGGCGGCGGCCGCCGTGGCGGCGTCCTCAGCGGCGTCGAGCGTGAGCTTCTCGAGCGCCTCCGCCTCGCTGAGCGCCGCCTCGATCATGTCCGCCTGCGCCTCGATGATGCTCGCCTCCTCGCGCATCACCTACAGTGCGTCGCGGACGCGTCGCGGACCTGCGCAAGCACGCCCTCTCGGCGGGAGCACGAGGGGGAGCAAGAGAGGGAGGGGGAGGGGAGAGGAGGCGTCTCGGACCTCCTTCACGCTCTGCACCAGCTTGGCCTCTGCCGAGATGGCCTCCTCCTGCTGCCGCAGCGCCGCCTCCTTCTCCTCGAGCGCCGCCGCCGCCGCCTCGACGTTCTCCTCCTGCCGCCGCACCGACCGCTCCTTGCGCAGCGTGGCAACCTCGCGCGCCTTGACCGCCGCCGCCTCCTCGCGCGCCGCCGCCTCCCTCTCGTCCTCCTCGCGCTGCCGGTCGCGCTCCTCATCCGTCCAGCCGAGCCTCCGCTCCAGCTCCTTCTTGAGCGCCGCCTCGCGCGCCTTGACGGCGTTCTCGCGCTGCGCCGCTGCACGCTGGGCGGCGCGCGCGGCCTTCTCCTCCTCGCGCACCGCCTCCGCCTTCTCGACGAGCGCGGCGCGCGATCTCTCGAGGGCGGCCTCCGCCTCGGCGAGCGCCGCCTGCCGCGCCGCAATCGCGTTGCGCGCCTCTAGCGTCGCGTCCAGCGCGTCGGACGCCTCGCTCATCAGCGTCCCCTTGGTGTCAAGCACAGGCTTGCCCTCCCCGCCCTCCGCCGCCGCCGCCCGCGGAGACGGCTCCGCCGGCGCAAGGTCTCGAGGCAGCTCTCGGCCCCGCGGGGACCTGCCGCCCTCCCCGAGCTCCTCCGACGACGCGAAGCCCTCCGGCGGCGCCGTCGACCTCGCGTCCACTGTCGTCGTATCGACGGCGCCCGCCGCCGCCGCCGCCGACCACGACTGCGCTCGCCCCGACGCCCGCAGCGGCTCGCCGCTGCGCTCGAGATCCAGCTCCGCCAGCAGCGCCGGGAAGCGAAGGCCGCCGCCCGCGCCCGCGGCGGCGTTGCTGGCGGCGTTGGCGGCGGCGGCGGCGGCGGCGGCGGCGGCTGCTGCGGCGGCGGCGGCTTGCTCGGGCTGCTCGCTCAGCCAGACCTGCTCGCGCGTGTTTGCCGAGGCGAATCGCGCGCCGTACTTGTCGAGGATGCGCTCGATGGCGACGAGCAGCTCCTGCTGCGTGGCCAGGTAGTCGGTGAGGAAGACGGACTTTGTGAAGCACGAGAGCCAGACGTCGAGCGAGTACGGGCCGATCTCGCGGAAGAAGACGAGGCGATGCTGCCGCGGGTCGAGCTGCTCGTGGGCGAGGAGCAGCTCCTTGATCTCGCTCACGATGGCGGGAACCTTGGCCGAGTCGCTCATGCGCAGCTTGAGCGTCTGCAGGATGCGACGGTTCGACATGCGGCTCGCGTTGATGATGACCATCGTGTAGAAGGAGGAGTTGGGCACGTACATCGGCCGCTTGTCCCACGTGTTCACCTTTGTGTAGTACCAGCCGATCTGCTCGACCCAGCCGTCGAGCGAGGAGGTGCCGTCCTGCCTCCGCTCCGAGTGAATCCAGTCGCCCACCGAAAAAGGCTGCGAGAGGTAGATGGTGACGCCGCCGATGAAGTTGGCGATCATCTCGCGCCCGGCGAGGCCGAGCACCACGCCTCCCACGCCGGAGAAGGTGAGCACCGCGCGCACGTTCACGCCGAGCGTCGAGAGGGCGGATAGCGCCGCGCTGATCCAGACCAGCAGCGAGAGCACCTTGGCGAGGGCGTTAGCGCGTGCCTGCTCGACCGAAGCGCGCTCGCCCTTCATCAGGCCGGTGAAGGCGCGGTCCCCGAGCCCCATCACCGAGGTTGCGACCGCGCGCTGGTCCTCGGTCGCGCCGTACCGCGCCTCCCACTTTTGGACGAGCTTGAGCGCCGTCCAGAACGCGGCCACTTGCACGGTGCCGCGGCGCGCCGCGGCGAGCCCGCCCGTGACTGGCGCGGTGAGCAGCTCTGCGGGCGCGAGCAGCGGCACAGCGTACAGGAGGGCGAGCGCCCACGATGCGAACTCGAGCGGCCGCTGCGGCGCCTCGAGGAACGACTCTTTGTAGGCATAGCGGCGGTAGTCGCTGGCAAGGCCCTGCTTGGCGACCTCGGTCGCGAGGTGGAGGGTGTGCATCAGTCGCCGCAAAGCGGTGGGCAGCATGGGCGCCGCGGCGAGGAGGAGCATGCCGGCCGCGCGCGGCGACGCAAAGCGGGGCATCTGCAGCATGCTCGCCCACGCCGCAAAGGTCGGCCCGAGCGCGCCCCGCGCATTGTACGCGCGGCGAAGGAGCGGGCGCGACGCGGAGAGGACGAGGGCGAGCGTGGCCGCGACTGCAGCAAGGAGGCGACGGGGCCAGCGGCGGCGTGCCGGAAGCGGCGGAGGACCCTCCGGCTGGGGTGCGCTGGCAGCCTCCTCTGCCGGCTGGAAGCCGGCAGGAGGCTGGAAGCCGGCAGGAGGCGAACACGCTCCCGAGTCCATCGCCCGAGGGCCGCGCGTGGCGATGGCGGCACAGTGGCGTGGCCGGCGCAGCACCACGGCCGGCGGGCGCGGCAGGAGCGCAGCCATGAGCAGGGCTAGCGAGGCGGACGGCATATACTCCACTGTGTCGAGGTTTAGGTTGTCGAGGTTGCGCCACGACCACAACGAGAGAGACGGACGCCGCTTGGCTGAGATTCACAGCGGAGCCTCGATGTCGTGCGATGTGCGCGATGTAGAGCGATGTAGAGTTTGTTGCAGAGGCTCTACAGCCAAACCGCCGGGAAGGGTATGTTCGTAAGACTTTAAGAGCCACATACGTGCATACACGTGTATGTAAAATGAAGGAGGAGTCCATCTATCTTGAACAGCGCTCAGCGGGGTGTCAACTAACATCGTCATGGTGCTAGGTATTTCGGTGCGCCGTGTACCGCCACCCACATCTTAAAATGCATTGCCATTGCAATAGAGCGGAACTCATTCACGCTGAGATTCGCGGAGGCGCGGACGCGTCCACGGACCACGCGAAAGCCGGCGCCTGCGCCGTTGACGTGCCCGTCCAAGGTCGTCGACGCGTACGACACGACCGCCGGTGTGAACATGCCGGGATCGTATGCCGCTGGCGTCGACTCCAAGGCGGGCATGAACATGTTCCCGACGCCCGACTTCTTCCCTCACGGGTGGCGCGAGCCCGAGAAGCCCATCTACATCCGCTGCGCAAACAACGACTACCTCAAGGCGAAGGGCGTCGGCACCGCGTACGCCTTCGCGCTGGCTGACCCGACCAAGCCGCAGGACACCAAGGTTGTGAACACCGAGTGGGTGAACGCGCTGTACGCGCCCGGACTCGCCATGCCTCTCGTCAGCGTCAAGGAGTGCAAGGCGCAGAACATCGTGGTCCGCTTCGACCTCTGCCCACCACGCCTCAACTACCCCTCCGGGCAGACCATCTACTTCGGGGAGGACTTCAACATCCACCTGATGCCGCTCGGCGCATCCGTCGGCGCCAACGCCGCCAAGGCCATCGTGCGCGGCAAGCCGGGGCGGCGCCCGACGGATGGCACCTTCTGGCGGCACGCCCTGTGCATCTCCGGCGACGCGCTAAAGGACCTCAGCAAGATCGCGGACGGCGTGCCAGACCTCTCCAAGATGGACCGCAACGAGGGCCTCGACGACGCCGCGCTGCAGGCGAACGCCAAGTACCACGCGCGGCGCAGCACCGGCCGGCCACTGGCCACTCGCTTCGGAGGCTCGTCGCACTACGACCTCTGGTCGCCCAAGGGTGTGGTAGGCGTCGATGGGCACCGCTACGCACTCATGGTCGTCGACGAGCACACCAGCACCATCACGCCGTACATCCTGCAGACCAAGGGCCAGACGCCTGCCTACCTGCGCAAGTACTTCGCCGAGAACGAGGGAAAGGACGGCCACACGTTCCGCGGAGGGGTTGCGTTCTGCGACAACGAGGTCGTCCTCAACTCCAGCGCCGTGCGCGAACTCTGCCTCAAGTACGGCATCACCCTCCGCAACTGTGAAGGTCTTCAGTGACCACTCACAAGCTGTTCCAAGGCCCGACAGAAATGTACTGTCAAAACTTTGTTCAAACAAAAGTCCTGGCCCGCGGCCCCCACACCCACAATGACTATCAATCCAGGCTGCGGGTGAAGGGCAAAACCGCGCCGCTGCAGAACGGTTTTTGCAAAACCGCGCCGCAGCGGTACGAAACTGCGCAGATGCAGTCCAGGGGTGGTAAGACATCATCGAGGTGGGCACCATCCGGCCGGGCGCGGAGCGCGAGGCCGAGGCGGTCGCGCTGCACGTGCGCTACAAGAACATCGGCACTGCGGACGGTCTCATCCCGGCCATCATCGACAAGTACTTCGGGGACCTGGCGGTGACTCTGTCGCGCCAACTCTACGGTGCGCTGCAGAACGCCGTCAAGGACGACGACACGCTGGCCGAGATGTTGGCGGACGAGGACGCCGACCACTACGACGACATCAAGAAGGGCATCGCGGCGATCAAGTCGCTCATCGAGTCGGAGGACACGAACTCCAAGAACGTGCGCACGAAGGCGCTGCGCGCGGATCTCGAGAAGGCGTACTCCCCCGACGCTCTCAAGGACCTCACGTCCGCGAGCCTCGCCAAGTTCAAGACGGGCATCGAGCTGGCGAACAAGTTCCTCAAGGGCTCCCAGTGGCACCTCCCCGACGAGGTGATCGAGGAATACATCCTCGACGCGATCGCCGCCAAGGGGGCCACGCTCGGCGCAAACATGCGCGTGCAGATCGGCATGCAGCGCCAACTCGCCGCGCAATCGGGCAAGACGTACGGCCTCAAGGCGTCCACGCTCGCGATGCAGGGCATCCTCGACCAAGACAACGCGGACCGCGCCAACGAGGCCAAGGCGGCTGCGCAGGCGGCGTTCGAGGCGGAGATTGCCTCGCAAGGCGTGCTCAAGGAGAAGCTCGCGGCCGCCGAGTCCCAGGTCGCCGCTCTCCAGGCGCAGATCAAGTCCGACAAGGGCGGCGGGGACCGCGGCGGCCGCGTAGCCGGTGGGCGCAAGCCGTGCCCACACTGCGGCGGGTTGCACGGTGGCAAGTGCATCGGCGACCTCATCTGCAAGGGGGTCCCTGTCGCCAAGGTGCTCGAGGAACTCCCCGACCGCATCGACCACGAGGCGAAGGTGCGCATGGCCCAGTCCTCGTACAAGAAGGTGTGCGCCAAGTCCCCCGGCCGCACCCTCCCGCAAGACCCCTTCGCCAAGAAGTCGGACTCCACCGCGGCCAACCACGAGGAGGTGCGGGCGGCGCTGGCCGACTCTGTCACCCGCACGTTCGACCCGGACGGCATCGTCGGCGGCTTTGTCGCTGGCGTCGGCACCGACCAGGTCGAGGACACCTTCCCCGACTCCAACCCCACCGACACGCTCGCCATCCTCAAGGCCAAGACGGCGGCGCGCAATGCGGCGGAGGCACGGGCGCGCGGCGGGCTGTGGGTCAAGTTCACCTCGTTCGTCACCGCGCTGCCTCGCCCGTACATCGGCGCTTCCATCCTACTCGTCCTGCTCGCGTGCCTCATCCCGGTCTACATGGGCTCGCCTGCCTCGATCGGCACGCCTGTGGCCGACGCCGTGGACGAGCCCTCGAACATGGGCGTGATGGTCGAGTCCGTCACCGCACTACCCCTCGAGCTGTCCACCGGGCCGGCGACTGGCTCAGGTGGCGGAGCAGAGTACGCCATCGAGGAGGACCCGCTCCAGCCGATCTACCGCAAGGTCGCGGGCGACATGTTCCGCGCGGTGAATAACATCGACGCGCCCAAGACGGTCCCGCTCGTCCTCTCGTACACGTGCATCATGCTCGCCATGTACGTGGCGCGCATGGACGCGATGCAGGCACACGCGCTTGTCGGGCATGTCAAGGTCGTCGACGCGTACGACACGACCGCCGGTGTGAACATGCCGGGATCGTATGCCGCTGGCGTCGACTCCAAGGCGGGCATGAACATGTTCCCGACGCCCGACTTCTTCCCTCACGGGTGGCGCGAGCCCGAGAAGCCCATCTACATCCGCTGCGCAAACAACGACTACCTCATCGAGCACTTCAACAAGCACGTCGGCAAGCCGCTCAAGGTCCACGAGGGAAAGGTGCACGAGTTCCTCGGGCTCAACATCACCAAGACGCAGACCGGTTTCAAGCTGTCTGCCAGCAAGTACATCGACACGCTGCGCGCGCGCTTCTTCCCGTGTTGAAGACCGACGACCGCGCAGCCGTCTAGTCTACGGCCACACACACACACATAGTGTCCTTACCACCCCTGGACTGCATCTGCGCAGTTTCGTACCGCTGCGGCGCGGTTTTGCAAAAACCGTTCTGCAGCGGCGCGGTTTTGCCCTTCACCCGCAGCCTGGATTGATAGTCATTGTGGGTGTGGGGGCCGCGGGCCAGTACTTTTGTTTGAACAAAGTTTTGACAGTACATTTCTGTCGGGCCTTGGAACAGCTTGTGAGTGGTCACTGAAGACCTTCACAGTTGGTGGCGGCGGGGCAACGATCCCCGGGACATTACGACAACATGTCGTCGACGGACAAGCTGGTGATTCCGGCCTACAAACAGAGCTCCGAGCGGGAGTTCAACGAGTGGTTCCGCAACCTGCGGACCGCGGCGAAGCAACACAAGTACCTCCTCGACATCATCGAGGCGGGCATCATCCGGCCGGGCGCGGAGCGCGAGGCCGAGGCGGTCGCGCTGCACGTGCGCTACAAG